CCCCTCAGCCAATCTGCAATCCATCTGACTGTGTAGGCATCGATGCCACAGTCACCTAGTTTTTTAACTAGGAGGGGGTGAGAGACGGTGTCAAAGGCCTTGCTGAAGTCCAGAAAGACTACATCCACCGCGGCACCTGCATCCATGGCCTTTGTGACCTGATCGTAGAAGGCAATCAAGTTGGTCTGACATGATCTCCCCCTAATAAAATGCAGTCTTATTATCTGGGAATAATACTTTGAGTGCTGCCATCATGTGATCAGACTTACAGCATTATAGGAAGAGCTGCACACGTAATTCAGCAGCAGAATGAATGGAGGAGCAAGCGTGGCCCCTAGGTTTTCAGGGCTCAGCTCTCCTGGCCTGTTAGGAGAAGTTCTGTTCTGTTCTCTGTTTCCCATATGCTACTCTTACCCTTTCTTCCTCCTCACTTTCCATTGACTAAAGCCAAACAGCTTCCCCATTCTGCAGTCTCTTCTTGCAGCTGCTTCCAACCACTGCCTTCTCCCAAATTCTGTGGTCCTTCCCCAGTGCATAAAAGTAGTAATAGAAAATAACTGTCTTCTTGCCGCCATCCCTCTTTAGCACCTCTGGGCACTACATGAGGTGGGAGTTGGTGTTTAGATCACAAACTGCACTCCTTTCCTGCAGGTGGAGAAACCAGGATGTGAAGACTTTGTATTAGGGAAGACTGTGGTTTGACCAAGGGGAAGGGAGAAGAGGTGAAGTGACCCTGTAGCAGTTATGAGGCCTAACTGGAGAAGAGGGGGATGATAGGCTCTACTAGTTCTGAAGACTTTTTTCTACTTTGCGATTAACATATTTGGAAGAACAGGGAGAGAAAGTGTAAAGAGAAATCAACAGATAAACTTTGAAGGTCAAGAACGTGTTTAAATTAATAGGTGAACCTGTTGATGAGGCAAGTGCATAAGGATCATCTGATATGTTTGCCTGTGTTTTAATAAGCACCTTCTCAATTGTTTTTTCTGCCCAAGGATGAACTAAAATTAAATTTATTAATCCTAAAAAACCTTAATTTTCTTTTTAGACTCAAGGATTAGGAACTGCCTTAAAGATTTTATTCTCTGAAAGAGAAATACAGAACCTTCCTGAGAATAGTCCATCCAAAGGCTTTCAACTGACACGTCAAGAAATAGTTGCTCTTGTAAACGCATTTGGAAGGTAAGTCTGTGTTTCTCATAAAATAAAAATAATGGCTAGTAAATTCTGAAGTGTTGCTCATTAATCCTAGCTATCTGGAAGGAAGTTTAGAACATTTTATTTTGGATCTTTTGAGGGGAAAAAAGTGCCTTATTTAGACTGTTTGATGCTTCCTTTTCTGTAGAATCAGGAATTCCATGAGCATGGCACTTCTCTCAGTAGTTTGGTCTGGAATGTACACATATGAAAAAGAGCATCTTAAAAAAAGAAAAGTTTAATCTTAATTTACAAGTGGGCAGAGACTTGAGGATGTGGTGCCTGTATTTGTCCATATTATTTAACTATTAGGATAAATGTTTTTAACTGGTAAAAATTTGGGACTTGTGGCAAATGAGCATAGTTTTGCTGATTTAAGGGGGGAGAGGGGGGTCCTTCACTGTGCATAGAAATTAAAAGAAAGCCTACTTTGTTCCTCAGACCACACTTTGGAGAGCTGATAGAACTTTTCAGGTCTCTAGCTCTTGTCCTACTGACAATCATTTTACATACAACTGAAACTGTTGATACTGCTTTGTGACCGTGGTCATATTTTAATGATTGAGAGGGAAATGAAGGGATTTATTTAAATTCTTGTGATCATGTTTTTACTGTATTTTGAGTAATATCCATAAATATTGCAAATTTCTTATGAAGAAAAATGGTTTTGGCTTCTAAAATTGTTTAAATCAAATTAGTTGATGGTGAATGAACAAATGGAGAATGGATTTGTAATATCTTTGCTAGTTTCAAGTTATACTAATACCCCCTCCCCCCTTTTGTTTTTTTTAACAGGCTTTCAACGAGTATAAAAGAATTGCAGAATTTTAAAGTGTTATTACAGCATACTAGGTAATGAAGGCTTTTGCTCATCCTGGTAGTGATGACCATTAAATGACTGCATCAAGCAGAAAGACAAAACAATCCTTACAGGACTGGTTATGAACTGAAAAAAATCAAATACCAACTTGAATATTTATGTTGTTTCAAATGGAAATGGTTATTAATTAGAAAAGATATTTATGAATGACATGTATAGTTTTTAAACATGTAAATTATGCTGACCTCCTGTCCACTTTCTCTGCTCATCATTTACCAGTATATAAATGTTTTCTTTAGTTCATTCTTTCATTCAAAAACAACTGTTTAACATGAAATTACTATACCTTCATCCCGACTGCAGTGTTGATGTGAATAAACTTGCCCTACCACCAAGAGGAAAACACCAGGTGGTCCTTCTTTTTAAATCATGGGTATCAATATATTCTAAGGACCAGATACCAACTGAGTCTAATCCTGTAGAAGGAAATCCTTCTTTTCCTTTTAAGCTCTTGCTTTTATTTCCTTGCATTAAATTTTTGAAAAAAGTGGGAAACTGAATTGAATCTGTTTTCTACTGTGACAGCCTTATCAGCCTGTTGATGCCAACTATTTTCTCCACTGTTTGTAAACTTTGATTTTTTTTTTTTAAACATACATGTACGTAACTGCCTTGTCACTGGTGGAGCAAGAGAGGAAGTAACTTTTACCAATCCCTTAACTCTGCCTGTGTCTGCTGAGGAGGTTTTAAAAGTTTAAGTGCTTGCTGCTAGCTGAGAAGCTTGGGTCAAGCTTGCCATTCAGTCTTTGGTCACAGGTTCAGCCTCCAGAAATTTTGTGTTATAAAAAGTTAATATAGCACATTTGAAGTAGTGGAAATATGTTGGCTTGAATGGGATTGCTTGTTTGTAGTTCTACATGAAAAGTGCAGTGCAAAAAAAGAAAAGGTTGTTTATAGACTTTTTTTAGCGGTATGTTGAAGATTTTTTTTAAGTGTTGGCATTTAATACTGCATACTTTATCTATGCAATCCCTAACAGTTCCTTTTTAAAAAGGGTATTCAGCATATGTAATGAAACGGGTATATTACAGTGAATCTTGCATAAATTGATTGTTCTGTCAGTGTCAAAAGAGAATCCAGAGACAGCACTACTGATTAATAGCAATCAATAATTGATGTAAATTTAAATTGAAATAAGTAAAGCAAGGAGAGTAGTATTTTTTAATCAACTTGTTTATAAGTTGTAGTAAATTGTGTTTTGGTGAAGATAATTAAATTCGATATCAATGTTTATAACGCTGGTACAGTCTATAGATGTCTTTATAGCATGTTTTATTTTCAAAAGTAAAAACAGTTTTCACAAAATGAATAAAGTGCTCTTAAACATTTTTCATCTTATCAAAGCTTACTCTGACTTGCTTGTTGGTCATTAAATTTTATTTTCCATAATGCGGTTCTTTACAGTGGAGAAAGAACTCTTGACATTTGGGATTTTTGTATGGTCCCTTCTCTGGTCTTGAGCCACAGGCAAAATTACTTGCTTTTTTTCCCATTAAAAACAAATTTGCTTATCCTGCTCATAACATTTGATCTGTAGTGAGGTAAAAGTACTGTGAAAACTAAATGGAAAATTACTTCTTGTGATAGTTGACTAAATTATCATTTAAACTGGTATCCAGTTTTCATAAGTTTTACTGTTAAGACTTGGTTTAAAATGAGTTATAGCATTTTTCTCTATGTCTTGATGCAATGTTAAGGTAAACTAATGCTAATTAGTAAACTAATTTCTCTCTAGGGAGAGAAATTGCACATGAACCAGAATAAATGTTTGGAAACCAGTTCAAACCTGTAACAATAGAAGTTCAGTATACATAAACCACTTTCAAAATGGCCCAAACCAGTTTGAGATAAACCTGGATGGAAGTAGTATCAGATTTAAATCAGTTTATTGAACTTTTGCCCCAGATCCCCTCCAGATTCAAGTGAACTCAGTCCCCCAGCATCCCATGATGCTTTGTACCTCCCCTGCAAGCTCCCCGTTGCTGGGTGGGCAGGCTAGCATTGGCCCAAGCTGTCTGCTCCAGCAGAACAGGGAGGTGTGCTCTAGCATCCCCCAGCATCCTGCCTGGGCCACTGCAGGCATGTGGCTGCATTTTCAGAGTCAAAAGTGAATGTCTGTTCACTTGTAGATTAGTCTAAACTGCATTTATTGGTTCAGTCTGTGCAGATTGAATCGATTCAGCCTTGGGCTTCTTGACTGTCTCCACTTAGCTAAAACGTAGCTTACCCTGCTCAGTAACTTAACAGTTGTCTTGTTTTTAAACACTACATTTAAAACTATCTTATTTTGACTGGCTTGTAGCTGAAAGGACCTCAGATGTTTCTCTCCCACATGTTTCCTTAGTCATTTAAGGCCTAAAATTGAGCCTGCAGGTTCTCTCCTGTATGAGGCATGGCACATAGAAGAGATTTAAATTGCCGTGTTAGTTGTGTTAGGGTGTCTAGAGCCTTGCATAACCACACTTCTCATTATTTAAATTTTAAAATAAAAATAGATACTTGTTTTGACCTGGAATTTAAGATTTTAGCATTCCTTCTTTGCTTCCTCCTTGCTTTGTGGGAGGGAGAGGAAAAATAGTTTGTCACTTTTTTGGGGGGTGCAGTTGTATTATTGTCTTCAGCACCCAGTTCCCGGCTAACATTAATGGACACTGGAGAGACATTGGTACATGTTCCCTCCATCCATGTCCTTACATGAGAGCAGGTTAGAGGATTTGGGGAGTATGTGGTCTTTGAAGAGCAGCCTCCTGCACACAGCCACAGTCCAGCAAAATGAATACAGCTGTACAGGAGAGCAGGAAGAAGGATTTTACTCCTTTTTATTTCTAGGCCATCTATGGCTTATGGCAGGGACCATAAGCACTAGACGCAAACAAATCTTACGATCTGGTACAAACAGTATATTAAAATCCAAGACACAAGATTTGAACTTCTGAGGAGGAGATAATGCACATTTAGTAGAACAGTCAGATAAATACTAATTTGTCAAATTTATCACAAACTGTTTCTGTTTCATTTGGTGATTGTGCTTTATATTGCTGTGCATGCATGAAATACCACACTGTACCACACTTAAAGCTTTGTGTTGATTGTTAGGAAGAAGAAACTTCTCTCTGTGCTTTTTTTTCTGAGAAATGATCTATAATACATTGTAAGTACTATAGATGCTGCTGCTTATAAATTAACAAGCTCCAGCTTGTAAACCTCAGTGCTGTTCAATGTTTGAATCCTTAATGTATCTAATTTATTGAATTATGTAATTTAAGTTTATTATACTCCAAAACTGACATTAGATCTGCTTGCTGCGATTTAAACACACGTATAAATCTTTCCTATCTCTTGCATCTGAATCTGTAAAAATGCAAATTAAAGTAACTATTTTTCTGGTATACATTTTCCTTTTGTGAGTGTAAGTTTGTAATTTTTTCTTGGTTGAAGACACTGTTTTCCTTTTTAGATTTTAACGGTCTGTATGCATATCCTGTTTTTCTTTATATAATCATTACTAATACTGAAATAAGAAAAGTATCCCTTTAAAGTTCAAATGACCTGTTGGTCTTGCAACACATTCAAGAATTTTAAGAAGCTACAATTTAAGCAACGACTTTAAGAAATTGAAGTCTTCCAAATTCTTTTTTACTTTTTTGTTGAATTCCTATTTAAAAGGCAAGTCATAAACTATTTTGACTTTTTGAATTATAAGCATTAATACTTCAGTGTGCTGAATAATAAGCACTAATATACTGTTTTAAGCTGTTTTAATTTTCCTCTGATTATTTTTTAATGAGCATCTACATAAGTGGTATGACCAGCTGATGTAAACAAATCAGTAAAGTAAGTGGAAGAAAAAAAAATAAGCTAAATCCTCCCCTCAGGATGTAGTCTTATTTTCAGTGAATACAACTACTACTAATAATGTTTCCACCTCCTTTCGCCAGTACCATTTCTAGCTGTACTTACCTAAAATTGGTCTCAAATATAGTGTTTCATGTTGAAATCAGCTTTGGCTTGCTCCTTATTACAGTTCTACTTTTTTATTCTCCCCGCCCTGCCCCCTGACATTCCTTGAGCTTTATGCTCCCTGATGTATGAGCAAGATTAGCTTCCTTGCAGTTCTGCTTCTCTACTCACACGTTCACTTCCTTGAGAATTTGGATGCTACTTTTTTGTGCATCTTCTCTTGTTTTTCTATCTACCCTGAACTATCTTTACTTGCTGGTCTTTGGCTTTTTCTTTACTAAGTCACTGGCTCTTCACAAGTCAAAGGAATTGACTAGAACATTTGAAAACAATTTTACATTTGGTAGGATATGGCATGCAGTTGCAGTAGAACTTGACTCCAACCCACTTTGATCCATAAAGATCAAAATCCCTAATGAGTTAGAGTAGCTTTGTCAGTCCCCGCCCCCCATTAAGTAGCTAATGTCCGTGAGTTAGAATCTTACTGAATACCTTTACTTGTCTAGGAACCTTTTTTTATATTCCTAAATGCAGCTTTTTAGATTTAAAATGTACTTTCTACTTCACTTCTGCTACAGCGGAAAAAGGTTTTGAGAAGGGAAAGAGCATATGGGCATCTTAACAGTTTTATGTCGAGGGAAAGAAGTATTGTTTTGTTATGTGCTACATCAAATATTTAAAAGTTTTTTTTTTCTACCAGTTAGGTTTCCTTGGTATCTTATTTAAAACAAAAAAAACCCTCAGTCCTTTTTATTGTTCTACCATCTTACCTTACATGCTGAGGTAATACCCCAAATTGAATGTTTTTAACCCACTGAGATGTGGTTTGAGAAAATAGCTAAGAAATAGGAATGGGAAATATGAATCATGTTACAGTATTGTTCCAACTTGAAAAGCCAATCTGACTGTTTTGTTTGCAAAGAGCATCTAAGCTGCTTTAACACTGCTTTCAAGGGTTTTCTGCTCTTCACAGTGGGATTTTAACTTGATGCACCATTACATATTACACGTGATAAAACCACTTATTCAGGTATCAGTGAAGATTCCAGTGGTCTTTGATTTCTGTCCTCTGGAAGTTTTTTTGGTGTTTAACTCAAATATGTTATTGGGTCTCTGCATGGGACCTAAACCAAATTCATCCCTTTGATTTCTGTGCAGATGTGGCTGGAACAGGGTTTCTAGATCTGCCAAATAATGCTCAGTGTTTAACTGTTACTTCAGAAAATCATGTATCAAAGGTATTTGCCTATAATATTCCGTCTCCTAATAAGCCAGTAGAGAAAGGGTGGTAGGCTGCTGCTGCTGCTAATTGTATAGAGCCTATGGTAAGGTTACTATTCAAGCTGGGAGGTAGGGAGAAAGCATTAACAGCCAGAGCTATGGAGCCAGCCCTCTTCAATGTGCACTTATTTGTCATAATTGGCCAGAAACATGGGCACTTCTCAAAAGTACTTGGGTTCAAACTCTTAGGAAAGATTACCTGTGGAAGACTGACTCAGTTAAGAGATTAAAGTTTAGTCCTTACACTTAATAAAAGAAAATGTAATTGCTGACATGCTATTAGGCCTGAATAATCTCTTGGAGCATATTGTGGCATTTTATATGCTTTTCAGTTAAGGGAATGCCTTTTTTTTTTTTTCTTCCCAAGTGCTAATTCTTGTGCATGTGTGCTCACATATATAGTGGTCTTGGTATACATTAGCCCCACGTGCTTGAGACTTGGCGTCTTTCTGTCCCCAAAAGTAAGTGAACTTCCCCCCGTTTCCTTTGGCAAGGGACAGAAATTATACTTAAACCAGTATATGTGATTGGCAGGGATCCTGGTTTTCTCTGTTTTAAAAACCACATTCTCTGATTTTAAAAAAATCCTAAAATATATTATTAAAAAACCCCAAATCACCATTTTTCCTAGATTAAAGTGTGTGTATATGCAAGTAAGCCATTTAGAAGCCTACCTGTGACTTGGTCATAATAAATTCTAAATACCTTTTTTCTTTTTTTGGTATTTGATTCTTGTTTTTTATCTGAAAAACAGCACCTTCTACCCTCTGTACTCACCAGGATATGGGTGTAGCTGCAGCTTTGCCCCCTGCTGCTTTGTGATGCTCAGATGATCTGCTGGTGCCCCTCACTCCCCACCTACAGCCCCTCGTCCCCTCCAGCACTGCTGCTGCCCCTCACTTGCACCCTGCAGCCCCCTGCCCCTGCCAGAGGGGCCCTACCTGCCAGGGCTATGGCCCAGGGCCTGCAGCCCTCTGTACCGTGCAGCAGTGCCCGCAGGAAAAAGCATCTGCTGTGGCTGGAGTGGAGCATAGAGCCCAGGTCCCCCCACCCCACCCATGGATGACACAGCCAGAGTGGAGCCTGTTTGGGGAGGGGTGGGGAATG